CAGGGGGAGGGAGGGCCCCCTCTGACTCCCCAATTTGAAACGGAAGCTGTCCCTCTCCCTGTGCACACCCTGTCTGCTTTCTTTGCTTTGGTTTCCCCTAGAGCACTGACCACAATCTAAGAAATTGCATCTTTTATTTGTTGATTGGCTTCAGTATCTCTGTCATCCCAACCAACACTAAAATGGAAGGTTTCTTAGGACAAGCAAGCACTAGAGCAGTAGGAAATTCATGGTGGGCTGTCAGTAAACTATTTATTGAATGAATGAATATAAATCTAAATGGATTACTGAAGTTCAACTAAAGGGGAAATGGAAAAGTTCAAGTTATATGAATGCCATGTACTGTATTTAATAATCATCCTGTTTATAGCAGGAATTCTTTACAAGCCTTATTTTATTGATACCAATTTGCACTTCTATTCCTCACCACCAAGAAAGCCACGTATAAGCTGTTTATCATTCAATTCATTGATTAATCAGGACCTCCCATTCTCCGTTTTGAAGGATGGAAGAAATGATAATACTCCCCTTACTGGGTTACTGAAACTGTAAATCAGCTCAGACATGTAAGAGCAGTTTGTACAATCAGAGCACTTCACAAAAGAATTGATGGTCTGCAGAACGGTGGTGTAGGAATGTCTGCTGCTCATTGCCCCCAAACATGAATCTGAATAACTGTCTCGGCATGAAAATATCTTCCTAAGACGCAAAGATTCCAGCCCAAGCACCTTGCACAGAGAGATGCCTTCCCTGTAGGACAGTGAGAATAAAGGGAGTGTCTGACTTCACAGCTGGTGCAGGAGCCTGTCCACTCGGCACGGGGCTAGCTCCTATCATCCTAAGTGGCTCCCTGCAGACTCCCATGAACACAAGCCCCTGCCTCAACCCAGGGCCAAGTGGTTCTGTTATGGGTCTCAGATCAGGCACGCCGGAGCAGGAGGAAGGAAACAGGTCCTCACAGAAAAGTAGATTATAAAAAGGGAGCCTTTATTTCAGCTGGCCGGCGCCTGCCAAGTAGCAAGCTCTCCAAGTGCATCCAAAGCCCGTGTTACAACACCCTTTTAAGCATTTTTACTGCAGCCTGCTTAGTTTTTGCAGCTTTTCCACCTGCGCCTAAATTCAGCAAGCTATATTCCTTGTTTAATGCTCGGGGGGCTTAAGCATCCTGTTTTGCCCACCTGCTGCAGGAAACGTGTGATACTGCTGGTCTCTGTCTCTAACCAAGCAACATACCGAAGCAAAAATAGCCTGGGGTTAGTTGAACATCCTGTTTCTCATGGGATTTATATCTTTTCCTTTAGTTTCTCAGAAATTGGTACGTGACTAGGGTCTGGGGCTAACTTTACAGAGAGCTTTGTGTCCTATTTTTATGTCTGGAACTGCTTCCGCCCCCTCACAGTTCCTGTGGGACGTGGCCTGGCAGGCTTTCTCCAACCAAGGCTCCGGGCTCACCAGGGTGCCACCCGGCTCAACAGCCCTGGGTAGCTCTCATGGCCCAGACGGCGTCCTTGGCACCAGGCTCCCAACAGGTCCCCGTGAAGCCAGGATCCTGATTCACCCTGGCAGCTGCTTGCTCCTGGGGCAGCTGTGGGCAGTACTCACGGAGACTCAGGTGGCTTCCACAGCACCAGGCTCCCAGCAGGATCCTGCAAACGCGAGTGCTCATCTTACCTCCATGTGGGCCAGCTCCCGTGGCCCCAGGGCGGTTCTCTAGGTGGCTTCCACACTTCCAGGCCCCAGGTCCTCCCCGCTCCCCGCCCTGCACTGCTCCCGCCCCAGTGGCCCCACACAGGCTCACAGTGCACGGCAGCTTCGTCACTCCATGCGCCCCGAGGACGCCTGTGAACTAGTCTCTCAGGGCACGCCCAGCAGCCACAGGCTCCCACGGCCACAGTCAGCCTCCCCAGGTCTGGGCTCCCAAGGGCTCCCTGATCCATGGCAGCACCTGCTGCCACGGCCCCAGGCTTCCAGCCGCCAGGCAGCAGGCAACCAACTGGCTTCTGTGAGCCACGTCCCACCTCACAGCAGCGCTGCTGGGGCAAGGACACCAGCACAGCCGCCGTGGGAAACAGTGCGAGACTCCTCACATAGTTAAAACTAGAACTACCAGGTGATACAGAAATCCCACCCCGGGTGTGTGGACACATACCTCCCAGACATGTCAGCACCCCCAGCTCCCTGTAGTGTTATTCACAATAGGCAAAAACGCGGAGTAGCCTAAGTTTCCCCCAAGAGATGAATGGGTAAAAAGAAGGAGGATACCACATTTCTGTTTATTCAACCAAAAGAACGAAGGAAACCCTGCCTTTTGGGACAACATGGATGAACTTGAGGGCATTATGCCAGTGTGATAAGTCAGATGGAGAACGACAAATACTTTATGATTTCATTTATATACAGAATCTTAAAAAGTCAAATAGAAGTAGAAACAGAAGCAGAGTGGTTACCAAGGTCTGGGGTGGGGGAAATGGGGGGATGCTGGTGAAAGGCTACAAACTCCCAGCTGGAAGATAAATAAAATCCGGGGATCTAGTGTGCAGCATGGTGAGTATAATTAGCAGCACTGTATTTTATACAAAAAGGAAAGAAAAAGAAGGTTGGTAAGAGAGTAGATCTTAAATGCAATCAAGGCATACCCCCCAAATCATAAAATTGTGAGGGGATTAATCTTATTGTGAGGTGTTAACTAACCTTATTGCTGTAATGATTTTGCATATATACATATCTAATCATAACATTTTACAGTGTAACTTATATGTTATATGAATAATGTCACAATAAGGTAAAAATTTTAAAGCATTATCATTACAGATATTTATGAACTTTGTTTATATTTATATATTTCAAATACATTATAGTTATAATTAACCTACTGAAGGAAATCCAAGTACCAAAGTAATGTATTTGTTTGGTTTGGTGTTCCTGCCTTAGGGAACCATGGACATCGAAGCATATTTTGAAAGAATTGGTTATAAGAGCCCTGGGAACAAAGTGGACTTGGGAACATTGACTGACATTCTTCAGCACCACATCCGAGCCATTCCCTTTGAGAACCTTAATATCCATTGTGGGCAATACATGGACTTGGGCTTGGAGGCCATTTTTTATCAAATTGTGAGGAGGAACCGGGGTGGGTGGTGTCTCCAGGTCAACCAACTTCTGTACTGGGCTCTGACCACAGTTGGATTTGACACCAAAATGCTGGGTGGCAATGTTTATAGCATCCACACCAGCAAATACAGTCATGCTATGATTCACCTGCTGGTGAAGGTGACTGTCAATGGCAGGGACTACATAGTTGATGCCGGGTTTGGAGGCTCCTACCAGATGTGGCAGCCTCTGGAGTTAATCTCTGGGAAGGATCAGCCTCAGGTGCCCTGCATCTTCCGCTTGACAGAAGAGACAGGAACCTGGTACCTGGACCAAATCAGAAGGGAGCAGTACATTCCAAACCAGGAATTTCTTAATTCTGATCTCCTGGAAAAGAATAAATACCGAAAAATCTACTCCTTTACTCTTGTGCCTTGAGCAATTGAAGATTTTGAGTCTGTGAATACTTACTTCCAGACACACCCAGCATCTTTTTTCAGAAAGGAGTCATTCTCTTCCTTGCAGACATCAGATGGGGTCCACTGCTTAGTGGGCCTGATTCTCACCTGCAGGACATTCAATTATAGGGACAACTTGGATCTGGTGGAGTTTAAGACACTGAATGAGGAAGAGGTAGAAGAAGAACTGAAAAATAAATTTAATATTTCCTTGGAAAGAAAGTTTGTGCCCAAGCGTGGTAACAAATGTTTTATGATTTAGAGTAAGGACAAAAAAAATGTTCGGTATTATTTCAGGTACTGAAACTTCTTACTGTGGAAAATTGCAAACATATTCAAAAGCAGAGTGAATAGAATAATACATCACTAGCTCACTAAACCCCTAGATTCTTTTGAAGAAAATAAGAGATAAGAACAAATAAGATAATTGAGACATCAAATAGTTTCACTTGTAAAAACGTCAGTATATATCACTAAATGATAACTTCTTAAAATTAAAAACAGCATAATCACACAACTTACCAAAACTGATAATAGTAAGGGTATTTAAGGATGGCTTGGCGTTATGTTGGGAATCACAGTTATTTATACCAAGAAGCTTTCAACACTGGTTAAGTGTTGAATTTATAGAAAATGTTTAATGGTTGGGTAACAAAATTTTGAGGAATAATTTCATTAAATTCAACCAGAATTTATCCAATGTCTAGTTTTTAAAAAATATTGTGTGTGCAACTTGGGATTGGAATTCAACAGTGAAGAATGTGATGTGATACCAGCTTCCAAACAACTTACTAGTTCTCAGGAAGAGACTTAAACCAATATGTGATGGCATGTGAAACTTATAACCATCTCATCTTGCAAACACAAGCAAAACTTGACAGGTTATTTCCTATAACTGCCTCTGATAATCAGAAACAAAACCTACTTGATCTTTCTAAAATGGTGTGCAATAATCACTGTTAAACAATCTGCTGGCACCTGGAAATCCACACACTGAGAACCATCACTGCAAAGGGTACAGGACTTCAGCATTTCCCCTTCTTACGTGGCCTATAACTACACGCCTCTGAGCTTCGTTTTACTTTCGGTTTGAAGTCGGCCAGTCCACAAACTGCTCTTTTATATGCTCAATAAAATTTTGAAATTTAACTTGATCTGACTTTATTTTTGACAGGCCAAGAGACTGACGAGGCAATTGCTCCCTTTACAGTTCTTGCTGCCATGGCTATTCATGGGCCATTGTCTTGTTACAGGAATATTTCAGTTTCCAATTTCCTTATGACTCCTGCCCTGGGACTTCTCTGGTGTCACCTCTGCATGGGATGCCTGTGAGCAGTCATGCAGGTCCGACCCAGTTATTCTGGAGCTCAATCCCACTGGAGGGCATGCGAGGTAGCATGGTCCACGTTCCAGAGTGATCCCACCTGAGCAGGTACACCAGGAGCATTTATGTTCTCCCATCATTTGTCTCCTCTAGATTAATGGGTTTGCCTTTCCTGGGGCCCCTGAAAACCCCACACACAGGACATATGGCTTCAGGCTCCGTTCGAGCAAGAACGGGGCCAACCACGAGGTCGCACCTCTGGCGGCCTGTGGCCAGTGCTGCTCGGACAATGGAGCTCGCCACCCTTTCTCAGAGGACAGACCTGAGTGAGAGGTGCACCAGGGCAGCCCAGCGCCCACAACTACATTTCCCAGGGATCCCCTGTGATTCTAGACTCTGGGCGGAGCAGTGACAGCCGTGAGGGCGCTTCCTGTGCCAGCCCTGTGGGTGCGGGAGCTGCAGGCAGCCTGGTTCCAGGTCCCAGCCCTGGAGGAGCTCGGTAAGTGACCTGTTTAGGCTTTGAAACTGGGCTTAATCCCATCTCAAATGCGAGTTCAGGCACCAGATGCCACGCCCAGCCTGCCGTCAAGGCCTAACGTGGCTCAGAAAGTTTGGCGGACACACTTTGAAGCACTGTGCGGTGACTGGGGACAGCGAACGGTGACTCCCCTCGCCCCTCCCTGGGAGGACAGCAGAGCCTTGAGCCAGACTGTGGGTTAGACGCTCAGCCACACCACAGGCTGTGAGGGCGGGCACATCCCTCAGCGTCTCTAAGGTCAGTCTGTTGGTAATGGGGCTAGTTAGAGAGCTTACTTAAAAGGGTTGTTGTGAGGATTAAAAGTGAGTGTACAGGACAGCTGGACGTGCACGCCGAGTGTGTCAGGGAGCTGGATCCCCATCCCGGTGAACTGGGACAGCCATGCCCACCTGCTCTGTCCCCACATCGGTGTGTCCCGAAGGGCCCAGTTAGTCCCGCAGGCAGTTCCTGCTGCTCCCGCGTTCGCGAGTCTGAAATTCCCAATGACCCCAAATGCCCAGGGGGCCTGGGTCGCGCTGTCCGCCCTGTTTAAGGGGATTCCCGGGAAGGTTCCACTGTGTCGGGAGGGGGCCTGGGTGGGGTGGTCTCCAGGCGCCGTAAATGACAGGAACCAGCTCCTTCCCCGTCAGGCTGAGTCCGCCTGCCCTGAGCACAAGCGAGCAAACCCCACGGCAGAGGGCAGCCCGCGCCGCTGTCCGCCGGCCGGCCGGGCTCCCGCCCTGGACGGGGCTCCGCCCTGCAGGGTGCCCACTGCCGCAGGCCCGCGGGCTCCTGGTTGGTAAGCTGCTCTTTGCTGCCCAGGGTCCTCATTCTCGTTTCTCAGTCACCGCACAGCTGACCCAGCCTCTCGCTCTAAAGGAGTTTGTTAATCGTCAACTGTCAGCGCCATCTTCCCCAGGGACCTGTCGTGTCTGCTCTGCATGGGTTTAAAAAGTTCAGAGGCAACTTCAGAACCGGCGGACTTCACCTCGGAGTCTGCGCTTGCGCGCCTCCCGAGGAAGCAGAGGCCGCGCCCAGGACGCGCAGCGCTTCCTGCCGCCCGTGGCCTGCCCGAGCCGGTGGCTGTAGCAACGGTTCCCGGACGGGGCCTGGGGGGCCCTGTGCCGGCCCTCAGCGCACCAAGCCCGTGGAAGGAGGGTGTGGGTGGGGCTTGCCTGCGACTCCTCCTCCTTTTCCATCCAGAAAGTCCCGGCGCTGCCCCCTCGTCCCTGGGAGGGCCTCGGGGCCAAATGAGAAGGGAGGGGTGGGAAGGGAAACAAAGGGAGGGAAAAGAAAAAATACACACAGGCACTCAGGGGAAGGAAAGCCAATCATTAATTAGCCTAAAACTCCCCCGTTCGGGAACGCCGGGCCCAACGTAGGCACGGAGGAGTCCATCCCAGACCAAACCGCCCTCGCGCCGCCTCTGGTCTCCAGGCGCGGGGCAGCATCTCATGGGCGGCCTGTTTTAATTTTTCTGTTTTAGGCTCTTGCTCACAACTGCCTTTAGGGAAAGACAAAGGGTGGCTTTAGCCAATTAAAAAGATTGAAACCCGCTGCCGTACTGAAAGATATAAAGATTCGGAGGCGGGAACTGGACAAGGAGTTCTCATATCCGCCGGCCGTCCATGGCGTCCAAAGAGGTAATTTATAATTGACGCACCATGTCACGTGGGAATAAATCACAGCAGTCGGTTCAACAAGTGAATACTGACGATTCAGCCAAGCAACAAACATCCGTTCCATCTACAGGAAAAAGCAGGGCTCTTGGTCTGACGTTCGAGGCCTCTGGGAGTTGCTGCATTCTGTGCATCTGGCCTCCAAAATGGGTGCCGATGGGACGGCAGTCAATTCCCCAGAGTCAGACACTGAGTATCCACATGGAAGCGACTTATTAGGGAAGTGCTCCTGGGAAAAAACAGTTGCAGCCTGGATATGAATTATAACTCAAGGTCAGAAAGCACCTGGGCTTTGAAAGGGGACCCAGGGCAGCCCTCCAGGGCACGTCCTCCGGGGCCCTCCCTGCCCTGCCCCGGATGGCAGAGCTGCTCCGGGAGCCCTGCAAAGGGTCTGGGCTGCGGGTCCTTAAGCATAAGAACAGAAGCCAGGCTGGGGGCACAGAGAAATGGTGAAAGAGGTCTGAAGGGCTTGGGTGGCTCACGGGCATCCCCATACGAGCCTCAGCCCATGGGCTCCGACCTTCAGCCCCTCGGGCTCGTGGTGGAGGCCCATTGGTCTGAGTCACGTTTTTTAATTTTTTTAATGTTTTACTTTAGCCGTAATTCTTGTGACTTTTCTACTGTGTGTTCTGTAATAAAAGGAGTCACTGCTGCCCAGCAGTCTTTTACTGAGAGGATCTCTCTTTTTTTCATTTTTTTTTTTAAAGTAGGTAATGTTTACTAGAGTACTATACAATTGATATTTATGTAATAAATGATTTTTTTTTTGAGAGGGCATCTCTCATATTTATTGATCAAATGGTTGTTAACAACAATAAAATTCAGTATAGGGGGGTCAATGCTCAATGTACAATCATTAATCCTTCTCAAGCCTAATTCTCGTCAGTCTCCAATCTTCTGAAGCATAATGAACAAGTTCTTACATGGTGAACGAATTCTTACATAGTGAATAAATTCTTACATGGTGAACAGTACAAGGGCATTCATCACAGAAACTTT